GTGAGACAAGCGTGTCGCTATTTATCTTCAAACATAAAAATAATTACATTCATAAAATAATCCTCAGATTTGTATCTTGTAGACGGTCATAAAGCGGCCGGTTAGAATATTTTTAGAAAATTATGTTTACGTCGGATATTCCTTAGCCTTCATTATACGGAAAAGAAAGGTGCGCGCACTCCACACAACACTTCAGTTTCCAATAATTTTCATGTTTGATACGCACTTTGTATCCCGTGGTATTTTCGTGGATAATAACCTTTTGGCAACCGATAGTATCTGCGAGTATTTTTAGAAAGCATTTGTAACATTTCGAGGTCCGCGTGGCATAAAATACCGCTTATTTCGCCAGTGTCGTTTAGCAACTGTATAACTGGACAAATTGCCGAGACAGAGAATTTTTATCCGACCCAAGGGATCAAATACTGCAACCCTGGCAATACGATAACGCGTAAGAACGTCCTAAATTAAGTGTAAAGTGAGAGGTGCAGTCGTGGATTTCATTTTGATTCGCGCCTTTCAACGTCGGAAATAACCGTAAGTTCGAAACTAGCGCACCAACGCACCAACACATCTCGCAAGTTGGCACAATAGACCGACGCGTGGTTACCGCCAAACGCGCTTATTTCGCCGTAAGAATAAATCGCGGTAAAACCGTATAGAACTTCGCGCATGGAAACTTATAGACAGAGACATCGGCATTGACTGATACCTGGAAATCGAACAACAGCTCGGGGCTCGAAGAGACTTCCACTATTGATTCGCCGCTGTTATAATTTATCGATAATCTACGTGAATAATGGAGGGCACTCATCTTCGTATACCAATGTCTATACTATGTCACTGTCAGTCCATGCAGCTTTTAAAAGGTAGACGACGATCGCTACATAATGGATTAGATCCAATTCGCATACGCGGGTCTTGCGCTTTTGCCGTACACGTTATCGTAAGCTTCGGCAGTACTTCCGTAGAATTATCCCCGGTCTTTAAGCTAATAACGATAATATGACGGGTTTATATCGTCTATCTATTGTCGACGTGTATTTCATCAAGATTGGAATAATTTCGTCGTAAACTATTCGCAACGTTTTTCAAACAGCGATGCGCTGTTTCACGATACTTTACCTAATCGATTTTTATTTTCATTACTCAAATGTTTTGCGTACACAACACGATAACGGAATAAGCCCTGTATTCTGTAACAAGATTGTCGCTCTATAAGCTCTGCAGCTCTTTACCCCTTTCTTCATTTTGCCCTTTGCTTTATTTCTCTCGTTCTACAGTGCTACGTAATTTATGTACTCCTTAATAAGATATCAAGTGTTACATAATGTATGGATTTTTATATTTAATGATTGAGATTTTTAACATTTTAGTATTTTCAGGCACATTTCTTTTCGCTCGAAACTCAAATTTTGTTTTATTTATTTGCCGTTACTTCAATGAAAGTCGGCGTTGTCAGACGGATCGATGGTTGAAATCGATTTCCAAGCAATAAAAATACCATCTTAAGGATCGTATTATTCGATTAGAATTCTTAGAAATCTATATCTTCCATTGCGGCATATCACGCAACATTCCGCAGGTTTTGCGACTACATTCCGGCCAATCACTCCTTTCCCCCCTTTTCCTCTATTTTTTTCTTCCTACTCGCAATTATTCATGGACTATTCGAAGGTGAATTTCAAAGCAATCGACACTGGGACCGGAGAAAACGAGATAGAGCGGAACAAGCAAAAAACTTGGGGGGCAAAGAAACGAAATCGCTCGTCTCGGATATGACGGAATTCCGATGTAGGAACTTTCACGAAGAGAGGTCTTCGACTTCTTCGCCCGGCACAGCACCCCGGATCGTGAAGATCGATCGTTGCCATTCGCGATCGTTAGCACGGGTCACTGCATTCGGGTCGAAGGAAGTCGAAGCAGAGAATCGAAGTAGCCGCAGAGGTTCTCAGTGCTTCGTCCTTTTACTCTCGATCACGGCTCAATGTCACGGACCGCACGCGGTTCGTACGCAGTTCCATGCGGAACGTACCTGTCGAAGAACGAGATGAGTGATATCTTTCTCAATTATGCTGTTATTAACGATCACGTGATTATCGCACTTGCTTTCGAAGACAAGACGAGAAGCGGGCGATTTTGGCACCGTTTCCTTTACGTGACGAACGTCGAGAAACAACGCGGTCTCCTCTTCGCACGATGTAATAACGTTATAGAATCCCACGTTCGTAGACCTTCGCGGGAACACGATGACGTCTTGCGTAGAGCGATAGAGCGTCATTGTCCTTATTCATTCGAGTAAATTCGTCGTAATTTTGTACGCGCGTCAACAACTCTACGGGACGTATTAAAGCTTCGATTGAAGCTTGAAATTTAGATTCAGAAAAGCATAAATTATTTTCGGCAAAGGTTTAAAAGTACTCCACTTGGAAAGATATTCAGATTTAAGATGCAAGGTCGTCAAAACACTTAATGTCGACTTTTCGAAGACTGCGGCAAATAGCGGTAAAAACTTTTCGTTGGGGATAAACTACTTTACGTTCGAAAGATACGATTCTACGATTCGTCAAACATACAAGCACAGGGATTATGGCTAAAAAATATATATATGCAAAATGTAATCGCATACAGAAAGGTTAATGCGGGTACTATTTTACGATTGCGAGGTATAATTCGTCATCGTGATTACAAGTGTTTACCAGAAACATGCTCGACAGTTGTTTTTTCTTTAAATAGCCGTGCATACAGAAGTACCCATAGTTTTTTGAGTAAATATTAATTGAATTATTATACCGACGATAATTGAGAATAAAGGGTTCCCGAGAAACTAAAAGCAAGGGAAATAAATAGATAGCCTTTAATACATTTCAGGTAATACCCACTTATTTTACCAGAATATACACTTTTGAATTAAACACCAGAAGAGGAAATAAATAATTATGTGAATGTCGTATCTTTAGGTCTGTTTTTGGACTCTGATTGGCTAGCAGTCATCAAAATACGCTCTCTGAAAGTTAATCAGTGTATTATCATTGAAAACAGTTATAAGTATAGCACTGAATAAATCATACTTATAACTGTGAATCAGTGAATATTCACTGTTTTTCAGTGATAATCCACTGATTGACTTTTAGAGAGCATATTGAGCAGAATGAAAAGCAGATGGAATGGAGCTTTGTCGACATTTCCGCTGAGCGAGAGAAAACACGTTAAAAAAATAATGTGGAAGAGGAAATAAATAATTATATCGTATCTTTAGGTCAATTTTTGGTCTTTGAGTGGCTAGCAGTTATGAAATACATATTAAGCAGAATGAAAAGCAGATGAAATGGAGCTTTATCGACACTTCCGGTGAGCGAAAAGCGACGCGAGGGAAAACACGTTGTTAAAAAAATAATGTAGAAGAGGAAATAAATAATTATATCGTACCTTTAGGTAAATTTTTAGATCCTGATTGGCTAGTAATTATAAAATACATATTAAGCAGAATGAAAAGCAGACGGAATGGAGCTTTGTCGACACTTCCGCTGAGCGAAAAGCGACGCGAGAGAAAACACGTTGTTAAAAAAATAATGTAGGGGCCATCTATCTACCTGATGCTATTTCAATCGAGGCGATATATCCCTCGACTTAGGCTTTCGTGTTCCGGAATATCGGCCGTGCATGCGTGGATACCGTCGCCGCGATCACGGCGAGTATCGACGAGTCGCGGTGCCGGTCCGCGTAATGGTATCGAGCAGGAATGCGCGCTCGATATATCGCGCGTAATGTACGCGCGGCGTGTGTAAAACGGGGCTCCACCGACGTAGGTGTATGTGCGTAACCGCGCGTTAGTGCATCAGCCGTGCGTGGATATACGTGCGTGTGTGCACGTTAATACGTGTACACACCGTCCATAGTCCCGGCGTGAGACCAAAGCGACTCAAAAAGTCGCACGGCGGCGCAGCGGCTCTCAGACGACGCGGCGCAAAGCTCGCTTTATACGTGCAACGTACATACGGGAACTTGAATTGAAGCTCATTGAAGGCGAAACGTAAGAGATATTATAACGGCTTTTGTGGCGACAAAGTCGTACAATGAAGACATAGGCGAATGGGTGCCGCCGTGGCGGTCGGGTCGAATCGGGAACCGCGCAATTTCCGCGAGTCTTAATTTCCATATTACGGACGCGCGCCGCGGAAGAGGGACGTTGCTTAATACAGTTTTCTAATTTATTACGAGAAATATATATATAATCTTGTAGAATAGAACGAGAGCTGACGCAACGCTGTAAGTTTCTTTTAATGGGCCAATGTGCTCGAAGAGATGGGTAGTTTTTCGGAAGCGTCGCGCGCACGAATTTATCGAAGCGTCGTTTCACACCTCGTGAGGGATATCCCGCGGCGTGCTCTGTTAGAAAACTTGTTAGAGGTATTTTTCACGTGGACCGGTTTTAAGCCGGCGGTCAGAAAGGACGGCGAGCTTTCCGCGAAACGCTCAATGCAACCGCTCGGCGATGTTTGCCTTTTGAAAGAATTTGGCTTGGCGGTATGTACCGTATCTGCCTGAGGCTTGTTCGAATACGGCCACCAACCTGCTTCAAATTCCTTTTGTTCGCAGGATGTTCGACATCCTCCCGTCGCCGGTTACTTTGTTAGCGATCTAGGATACGAGGTCCGCAGCCGTGGCGGAGTGACATTGGAGAAATCGAGAAGCGCAGATGCCGTGCTTTACAGAGTCGAACGATGCGATTTATAATCTCGATCTCGAATTCAATTGCGTACTTTACAACCGCGGCGATTCCGCGACGTTTGCGATATATTCGCGCGCGAGCAGCTTCAGGTAATATTTTTCACAAAATCGAAACGTTTGAAAAATGTTTTCACGGCTGAATTGTAGAAAATATTTTTCAAATGAACGCGATAAGCACTTAATTTAATTTAATTCTCCAATTTTACTGTTTTTTCTGGTCTGTCCAACTCCTACGTTATTATACTTTATTTTATGTTCACTTTTTTCTATACCATATTTACTTGTAATTTTTCTGACTCGCACTTTTTACCTATATTTTTAAGGGAGTTTCATCGGAGAGTAAAAAAAATTAATGATCTTTTTACCACAACTATTGTTAATCCTTTCATTACTAGTAAAAAAATTCCTATTGATCCCTCTCTAAACTCTGCTCCGAGACTCGTAAGACGCTGGCAGACGGCGAGTCAGTAAAAGTCCGTGCAGGATCTCAAATCTTGGCGCAAATAGGGCGCGAAGCAACGGATTCGCCGTTACGCCGGTGCGAAATCCGCAAGTATAACGAGAGCAGCTGGTGCCAAAGCAGCTCGTTCCTCCAAGCTCAGGGGGGAAAAAAAAGGGAGGCACGGGCGGAAAAAGAAAGGACGGAAGAAAGGAAGTGGCGCGACGTAGGACGCGCGCGGCCCTTACTGCACGGAGGGTCCCTTCTTTTTCGGGGGTTTTCCGCTCTCGTTCCTCCTCGAGCGCGGAGAAAGAAGGGGGAGCTCCGAAAAAGGGGAACCACGTTGCGGGCACGTGTCTCCAGGACATCTGCCACTGAACAGGACCCACTGTTACGTCCCCATTATATCGTTTACCTTAGCACAGCGAGCCACCTCTCTTTCTCGCCCTTCGTCCTCTTCCTCCGCCTCACCTTCTTCCTCCGCTACTTGCTTGCCCTTCGCCTCCTTGTGTCTAGGAACAAGCAGCTGCCCTTTTCCCTTGCATACAAAAGCGGTGCGTACCTACGCACCTGCCCTTCGAGGAGGATGACTGTTAACCGGTCTCGGGGTGATCATCGTGACGTATTACCGGGTGATAGGAGAGAAGAGAGGAGAGGGGGGAGGGGGGTAGCTTCGCCACCGAGGCGATGCAACCGAGAGAAATGCAACGATCAAGCGGGAATTGTAGTCAAGATTTTCAACCGACGATCGCGTTAGTCCTTACAATACAACGGAAGTACTTCATTCAGCGCCCTTAGAAAAATTACGTTGGCAGATAAAAAGTTTGGTTTCGCGATACATGTAGGAACGAGTTCTTTCTTTCTTTCACTTTAATCTGCTCAGTCTGATCAAACGTAGAAACAGAAAACGTATTTCAGGATATGTTTTCAATATACAACGTACTTATTTTTTCCCACGTATTTCTGGAGCAAGTGATTAACGGATAGAATCGATGGGGCAGTCGCTTCGATCTCTTCCCGTCGCGCGAAGCTGGCCCGGAAATCGCCAGCGGCGCGTCCGTTCTCGTAGGTGACAGAATGTAACGAGCATCGGCGCGGCGCGAGATGCGTCTATTCCGGGACGCCGGACGTCGACCCGCAGACGGCTCCCAGACTATACAGGCTAATAATCGACGCGAAGACTTAGGACGCGAGAACGTGGAGGAAACGGGACGCGGATGGAGCACCGGAATTACGTAAACGCGCGTCGCGCCCACAAAGATCGCAAAAATTGGGTCTCCTCCGTGCGACACCTCGACCAACCCGCCGGGACGATAAATTAGATTCGTTCGCGTCATGGGCGCGTAATCCCGCCCAAATATATCTGCATATCGGGGGTTTGGGGACGGCTATGATAATATCTTCTCCTGTCGGTGTGGAACTTTAAGTATACGCTGTACGAGACGATACGTTTTCGATAATATCGGCATAATGATGGGCAAGCTGCTGAGAGATTGCACGGGGTAAAAGCCAGGTTTTAAACAAAAATGACACGACGTTACTCGGGCGAGGTATCAAATTCTGGACTGGTTATTATTTCCCCATTTAATATTAAACCTCATGTTTTCGCGCGCGATTGCTTTGACAGCCGATCAACTTTATCTCCCGAATAATCAAAGTTTCCGAAGTGCAATCGGTGGAATCGACATAGGTTCAGTCTACTCACTTAACGAAAAGTCCTTCATTTCTTAAAAATTGTGTTCCACGCGCGTTTCGTTCATCGAGGAGACAGATCGCAGTTTACATACGAAATAAAAAAAAGAAAGAAAAGCAACAAGAGTAATATGAGTAGTAAAAATATCGCAATTCAGACGGAATCGTTAATACAGCATCACCCACAGATGAAATTTAAAGAAGGCATTACTTGAAATAATTTGCACACCCGTGCACATCGTGTATACCGTAGAAATCAATTGTGATTTATAAGACCATGTATTGCCAGTAATTTCGATACGGTATCGATGCTATATTATCAATAAAGTTTGTGACAAATGGCTATATAATTTGTATAAATGTTATTAATGGCTATCCGATAGCCGGGCTGTTCGAGAATTATTTTACGTTACTTTCTGATCGATTTAGTTATAAAAAAGAAACCCTCGGCCGACATCTCAGGCAACAGCTTGTATTCGACAATTTCGTAGTAAAAAAAAAAGCGTAAAATTATCTCATTGCGATCCCATTGCCCGGAATTAACGGAAGTTTCCAAAGCGTGATTCACGGATCACGCGCGTGGAACGTGTTTTCAAAAGTCGCTCGTGTATAATTGCACGGAAGCAGAAAAGACTTACAGACTCGTTCTCGAAACCGCTGGGCTCGCACGGGATGCACACGCACGTCGCACGCACGTCGCACGCAGCCTGCAACCAGACGTAAAATCAACAATTAGAACGTACGAATTATCACGGACGGTGAACGATAATTTCGCGTTGTACACGCTCGGCGGGCCCGGGCATGCCTGGTACCGTATCGACGAGGAGATGAAAAGAGGCGGCACTGTCGTCATTAGGATTCTAACCGAGCTCGTCCGCTTTCAAATGAACGACCCCTCGACAACGAAACGGTCCGCGTACACAACGCGCGCACACACACACACACGCATGCACGCACGCACGTACGCACGTACGCGCGCGCGCACGCACGCACGAACGGAATACCTTGTAGGTACGAAAGGAAGCGAACTTCCTTCCTACGTCCGATGTCACGCGCGCCACCGTTTATATAATCCATCCTGTGACGTCACGCTGTTTAATCCATTCATTATTGCGAGCCGGCACTCCGTCTCCGTCGTTCTTCCTCGCTCCGGTGCAACGGCGAGCGGCGTTCTGCACGCGCAGAAACGGCGCAGGGACGTCCGTCGTGCGCAATAATCCGCCGCTTTTTCGAGCCGCGAATTCGGTTGAATAAACGAATCGAAGAATTATGCGGTCGACTCGCGTTTCAAGTGGCGGCCGAGCGCAATACTAAAAATACGAGAATAAATACTGCGCGCGCGCGGATGATGGATCTGCATGCGCGCCGCGCGATACAATTTCGGCAAGATTTTGCGTATCGGATAATTCGAAGCGTGTGCACGGCATTTCGCCGAAACTACTTGCGCGAATGAGATATTTTTTTCCTTGGTAAGATTAAATTAACAGCGGTCAGAAAGGAAGAAGCGACGCCGCTTGACGAGGATTCGCGTTAAAGGAAGAAGCGACCTCGGCTGTGAAATAATATTTACACACACGTAATGTAATTGCGACAATGTAGCAGACTCGGGCAGGGCGTTACGGCGCGGGGGGAGAGCCCCGAGAGGAACGTTTCGCAAGGCAATTCTATTTTCAGTGGTGCCGTGCACTCGCTGGAGAGGATGCGTGAGGAGCATCTATACGAGAGTCCGCAATGAAATAACGTATTCCGTGTCTTCGCTCCGGCATCACAACCTTCACTTACAGGCGTTATTAGCTTCTATGAGTTGCGCAGTTGCGTTAAGCCACGTCCACACGGTGAGTAACCCCCGGCGCGCTAACGCGGCGCTCGTCGCGTCGCGACGCGCTCACTTCTGAAAGTCGGCGCGTCAAAAATCACTTGTCACGATTTCCCACTATCTTATCTTATCTCTCGTACGATTTATATAACCGAAAATGTCAAGCCGCGGCAATTCTTCGGCGTTCAACTCGCGTAACGTGAGCGCGGCTCTGCCGCTGGGCGAGTTTCCGGCTCGCGCGAATCCGCGGGCTCGTCATTACAATGACGCTCGGGCGAGCGCGATCGTCACGCGAGCGACCGCGTATCCCGCGCGATCGTATTTTAATAGGTTTTTATCGCACGGGTTATACGACTCCGGCTGTGCGGGCGGCCTGCGGCTTGCGGCAGTGACGACGACGACGACGACGACGACGTGTGTGGCGGCGGCGAGTGGGCGGACACGCACGGCAAACGATTCTGATAGGAGGCTACTCACCGAGCCGCGCGCACGCAACGGAATTTCACCTTACGAGCGACGGCGAGCGCGTTGAAAAGATAATTGAAGCGGCGAACGGAAAAGGGAACGCGCGGAACCCGCGATTTTTCGCTCCCGCCGAGAGTCCGCCCCGGCTTTAATTAAAGTACGAGCGTTTGCCCGAACAAAGTTTACTCGAATCAAATTAAACGGGGAGATATCGTTAAAATATTTGCGGAATCGCGCGGGCAGACGTTATCCTTTCTCCCGAGGAAGCGGAGGTCGTTTCCCGCCGTCCCGGCGATCTGCCCGACGCTTGTCAATTTATATTTGGTCCTGCCTATCCGGCCAAACAATTGCCCCGCGATAATACCCCCTTTCCCAGCGCAAAAAAAAAAAAATCAATGTATTATTTATAAAATGCCTCGCGACACGTCGACACGAGTTATGCAAATGCCCGACGCGTAACAACGTGCGCTCGGTATGAAACTAAAATCACGCGACCGTGAAGAATCCGTTATACTCCGAAACGTTCTTAATTTAAAGCGCTATCGCGCATCTACCGCGATTATTTTAAGACTAACGTCCGAGTGCACGCGAACTCGCGATAATTAAGCGATCGAAACGCCGTTTTCTCTCGCTCTTGCTCTCTTGCTCTCCTCCCCCTCCCCCACCCCACCCCGCGATATTCCACGGTCACGCGTCCGTCGCAAATGACGCGGCTCCGGGGTTAAGCCGCGGGTTGACCTTCGCGCGATCGAAAACGCCGACCGGGATATCGAATCGCCGTGACGACCGACATCCGGCCCCGGCTCTCGGCGGCGCGGCGGCGGCGGCGACGCGACACGTGAATGAAGCTCGGCCTCTGGTGAACGCGAATGGGGAACGCGCGCGCTGGGGGGAGGGGAGGGGGGCGGGGAGGGGGTGGCGGGAGGAATGCATGCGTTTAAAGAGACCCCGGAGCGCGCTAACGCGAGGCGACACAATCGTGCGCGCGCGAGCGATAGCGAACCGCGACGTTCGCCGAGGCGCGATAACGCCCGCCGTTGAACAATTGTTGACCGCCCTCGGAGGAGACGCCGTCGGCGATCGCGCGCGTCTTTTCTCTCCGTCGATTCCGCGAGAGGCGTCGATTGTTCTGTTAAACACGACTTGTTCGAATGCTCTCTCTCACATCGTTTTATAAAAGTGCGACGCGAACGCGGGACTTCTCGCGATACGCGGGAATACAGACATTTGAGATTAATCGCAAGCGTCCCGACGCGAAAAATCGACGGATTAATGACCGCGGGGCGTAACGACTGCGCACCGAGAGGAGAAAGAGAGAGAGAGAGCAAGAGAGAGGAAATTGAGAATAGTTGCGGAAAGTCGGCAGTCAACGATCTACGAGCGCGGACGTGTCGCATTAATCTCCCGCCTTTCAGAATAATAATTCCGCGTCTCCAATTCCGCGTCACGAAATATTCCACAGCACGCGCCGTACGGCGCCATTGTGCGGCATCGGCGATGGGCGGGGGGGGGGGGGCAGAGGAGGAGGGGGGAGGGGAGGAAGAGGGTATAATTATAGTTAGCACGGCGATGGACAACAGATTTGCGGCGTGGCCCCGCGTATGACGTAATACTACCAGCGTTCTCCGGCAGTCGATAAGAATTCCGACGCCTCCATTCAGAGACGGGAAACGGGAGGAAGGATGAAACCTCCGGGCGACGTGGGGGGCGGCGCGGGTACGGGGTGGAGCAGGGAGGGCAGGGGGACGGGGGGGGGGGAAAGCGGCTGACTGGCGAGCAATCGGACACTGATACGAGGAGGCGAGATTACGAAATCGAGAACCGCGGAGCGCGATTATATGCCGCCGCCCCGAGGAATCCGCGCGCTGGCGCCTCAGATAAGCGAATTTTTTTTTTCTCTTACGTATACGCGCTATCGCGAACGCGATCGGGGGAACGTGCGTAAGAGTCCGTGGGTTTAATTTTGGAGCACACGCGCGCCCCACGGACGGGCCGCGCGGCTCGGCTGCTCGCGTGAGTAACGCGCGTACGGAAGTACGCGTACTCGTTCGCGCGATGAATATTACTTTTTTTTTCCTATTCATACGCCGTGAATGCGGACTTTGCCAGCATTGTACCCACGGCGGATTATTTTCCCTCCCGCTTCCTTATTATTTCTGCTAAAGCACCACATCCGGGCGGAGCTTCGATCACGGCGCCGACAATGCGGCGTAATAAAGAAAAGAGTTTTCGACGGGATTTGAGAGACATACGGCATCCTTGATGGATATGCCAAGTTTCCAATACGTCTTTTCGCAAAAGAAGAGGAGACGATTTAAATCGATTCGAGGAGCGGGCGGTAAGCTCGCGCGCTCCCCGTTTTATTGAGCTCTTATAAAATCTGATCTAACAATAAGTACTGCGCAATGAGTAATATTTACGTATTGCAGCAAGAGGATAATATAAACGTCATATGTAGCGGGTAGGGAATGTTTGTCGAGCGATACGAAAAAAAAGAGATTACTCGAATGCATGAATGTATGAGATACGAATGTGCGGAGATACGAAGCGTGGAAATGGAAGGAGGACAACTCGCGGAGACTACTCTTTACGTCTTTTTAAACATCGCGATAAAAATAGGATAAGATAATCTTTTGTTCAAATACCGCGTGCGTGATAGAGTCGAGCGAGTCACCGGTATACGCGATACATCTGATGAAAATCGCCTCTCGCTCCGGCAAAGTTAACGTCTTGGAAACGTTAATTGAAAACCGAGTGTCCCACCGCGTTCCCGATTCGCCTCCCTCAATCATCTTGATTAATAATTCTTGGATTTGTTTTAATCTCTCGCGCCTAAACAGCCGCAATAAAGCAGCTTTGAAAGAGACAGATTCAGTTCGCCAACAATCTAAGGAGCTTCTAATCTCGCCGTGCCTTTATGGGCTACAAAGTGAACATCCACGTTCACATCCCACGTTGCGCAACGCCGACTCGCGACGGGTCGCGGCGCGCGCGTGAATTTACGACAAATTCCGTACACTCGACGTACCGGCACCTACACGCGTACGTTTGCGCACGCAATACACGTGTATTTACGCAACAGGCTGTGCATGCCTGGCGCAGGTGGCGTTATGACGCAAACGTTTTATCGGTTATTCGGCGTTATGCCTTTGCCAGATAACAGAGTCAACGATCACGAGACGTTCGCTCGGAGTAAATTGTTGTGTCGATGCGACGATTTTAAGCTCTGCCATAATGAATTAGAATAAACGTGTCGAGTCCCTCGCGGGGGGGAAAAACAAAAGAGGATCGCTTGAGCTAAAAATTAATCCGAGACGCGAAGAGCGCGGATCTTCGACTCGTTATAAACGCGCCGCTCTAAACTGCCGCAGTAAATTCGCAGTTGTTCGCGTCTCCGTCCGCGCTGTGCCACCCGACTTATCAGCG